AATGCTTTCTATCTTTTCTGACTTACAGCTTATTTAATTTCAATTTCATTTAAGTTTACAAGTTTCTAGACCTTAATTAACTCATAGGTAATCTTTTGGCTTTAGCAATTAAGTAGTCCAATTATCTTTGTTTTAAATTGGCAAGTGATTAGTTTAATTTCTAAGAAATTATTATGGTCTGAATAGTTGAAATCGTATTATGCAATTTTACGTAGTTTGTTGTTTGCAAATTTATCTTTTGTGGCATGTTATTTTCTTTTGGAAAATGATTTTGGGACAATTGTTTTGTATCACATTTTGATATAACTTGATGTATCATTTAAATGATTGATTTTTTTTATTCATATGGAACACATAATATTGAATGCATCTACTCATTTAATGATATGTGAAAGTTGTATCAAAATGTGATATAAAAAAGTTGTCCTTATAGCACCACCCTTTTCCTTTATTTATTTCATTTAGAATAATTACTTTAAGATATTGTATTTAATTTAGAATTTGTAACTTTTATTATACTGTTCAAGATAATTGATAATCTATCTTGCATAACTCCACCCTTTATTTTGCAATTTGTCTAAGGCACATTTTAGTTCACATACATTCTTTTTAGCCATACCAACGAGAGATTGGATCAAGTGGTAACCAATTTGTTTCAGCTTAAACAAAGTCTCGAATTTGAGACTTTGTATACGCAGTAGCCCCAGCTGGGAGACTCACCCACCATTTTCAGGTGCGCGACGCGAGTCCGGTCCGGATTAGTTGGGGTGAAGCCCCGATACTGGGTAAGAAACCAAAAAAAAAACATTCTTTTTAGCCATTCTTTTGGGAGGTTGACTATTGGATAAAAGAAGAGTTGTTTGGAAAATCTAATTTTTTTGTTTTTAAACAAAACAAATGACATGCCTTATACCTAAATTCATGTGACTAGGGGCGAGGATTTTTTACGAAATGTCCTGTTTGTTTTCAAAGTAAAATTAAAACCTCCTATTTTGGTAGTTCTCGGATACAAATGAAATTTTGTTTGTGAATAAACATTAGATCCGGGCATTTCTATTGCTTGTAAGCACTTTATCTGGTATAAAACTCAAATGTAAAATTATTTTGTAAAATTATTTTTTATTATCACTACCACGTGCAATGAACCGTATGGCATGGTGGATTAGCGCGTTAGACTTCGGATCAAAAGGTCGTGGGTTCAACTCCCACCGTGGTCGGTGCAACCTTTTATTGGCCTCCTGGAGATGAATTATCAGAATCTCACACCGGCTAAAGAAGAAAGTCTTTTTCTTCATCTCACCAATACACCATCTCTGTTCTTAATATGCAATATCGTGATATAAATTTCACAACACAATGAAAAAGGAAATGGGGAGATTGATACTCAGCTGCTGTAAACCCAGAGGACTTAAGAATGTCTTCAGCACAATTAGCATTCAATTGTTTCAGGTAACAAGACTGCCAGAATTCAGGCAATGTCGATTCAACAAATTAGTCCAAATAATTTTCCTTATGACCTAATATCAAAACAAATTTTAAATCAACTGGTAATATCAAAGAAGAATGACCTACGCTTAAGTCTGAAGAGCACACTGATTGCCTCCTCACAAAAAAAATCATTTACAACTTGAATGGCTACGACATCTCTTTTTGACAGACATAACGTCACAGGCTTCTCAGTACTAAGAATTATTTGTCAGGGGTTAACCACACCAAGCAAGGAGCGAGGGAATAGAGCTCCTTCCATCAGTCCAACAAATAGGCTTAAAACCTCGAATCTTTCTCACCCTGGCAACTGTGGTCACCTTTACGGAAACCTGACTCCTTTTGCTCAACCAGAAATTAGATTTACCCACCCCCTTTTATTTACCAAAAAAAAAATCAGAGTGATCACTTTCAGATTCATCATCGGTCACCATGTTGCCACTATCAATTAATCCCTTTTGAAAATCTAGCTCGAGGTAAAAATTTCCAGCAGCTAGCTTCCTGAGCCTTGACGAGCTCAGATGGTAAAACCTGAACCATAAGTTCTTCACGGATTTACGTTGCACTCACTCAAGAATTGATGTTCTCGTTTTAGAAACTTCCTCCAACGGGCTTTATACTTCGGAATCCCCAATTCCAGCCAAGGTTTCATATTTCCATTATAGTGCAAAACTGCAGCCTTCTTGATGTCTTGAGTACGAAGGTTGTAGTCATGCCCCAGCCCTGACAGGACCCACACCCCATCAAGAGCATAAATTAGGTCCTGAAAGGTAAGAAAGCTTGCTTTCAATGCTGATCCTTCTCCCATATTTGCCTGCTGTTCATGCACGGAAAGGCAAACACGTCAGGGTTAATTCCAATTACTGGTTCAATAACTGTAATGCTTATTTAGAATGGAAAAATTATAAACAATGATAATATCTCATTTGCTGAAGATGTTATGGCACAGCGATGGGAGACATGTCACATAAAATGCAGAGCAAGGTTTGGGGTTCATTTCTTTCTCAAACCAGTTTAGATCATATATAATTGCACAGAGAAGATCACATTAAGCAGAATAACAGGTACTGACCTCTCTTACAAGCCTCCAGTAAGTTTCAGTAAGGGCCAGCTCTCTCCACCTGACTAGATCAATTACATTCAATCCAGACATCCAAAAACAAGAGTTCTTATCAAAACCACTTTCACCCAAGAAGCTTTGCAGCTGACCCAACCTCACTGAGCAAAATTGTACCGCACCATTGACTTTCCCTCCCATGTCAAGGCTCCATAATGCAGACAAGTCTTGCTGGACAACAATATCATCATCCAGAATCACAACCTTCTCCAAATTCTTAAATATCTCAGGAAGAAGATAATGAGAATGAGAAAAGGTTGATATGTATTGTGTTCTATTATTGATTGGCCCAGCATTATCAACACTGTGAAAAGAAACACGGAATTCCATGGGTAAGAACAAGGGAGAGAGGTTTGCTTCCTCATGATAATCTAGGTTATAATCTTCAATATTCAACACTTCAACTGCAGCATCCTTGTAAGAATTATTGAGGAACCAAAGTTTCATTGCATAGAAGTTTTGTCTATTAGTCAACACATGAAAAACCTGTTTTGCACTTTCCTGAAATAAAGCAGAATAATCTGTCAGTATCATCAACATGAGTAATGTCTTAAGAAATGATCAAATGCACAATGAAGACTGTTCAGCACATACACTTGCATGCACAACAGTAGAGTTGATTACAACTGATGATGCTAGTACATTTCTGGAGAAGATAACAAAGTGTTGTAATGTAGGATCAGCATATTTTTCAGACTCCTTATTAGATGAATGATTTTTGAAATATTCCACAGTTAGTCTCATATTCAGGCAGTGTAGACTCTTAGGAATGGTATGGACTGCAAGTTGGAAGAGAAAGGCAGACTGCTTCATATGGAAGTTTGCTTCATCCTCAGTCATGTCAAGTATTTGTCTCAATTTCTTGTCCACATTATTACAATCCACAGTGGGAACTACTTTAGCTTTGGCTATTGCAGCTTCCATACTTTGTAACTTCTTCTTAATCCTGGTCAAACCGTTAAAATTGTAAAGTGTGTAATTTGAGACATTTGAGAAAGCAAAAGTTGACCATAACAATAACCAAAAAACCTGACTACTCAAAAAAGGAGAATGAATGAAACAAGAAGACCATCACAGCTGCACAGAACCTCATGAATGATAGTGTTTAAGCAACCCCGGTGTAATTTGCAGAGTGACTGGAGTCTATCAGGCATTTGGTAACCTTAGTTTCAATCAAGCTGGTGTAACAGGTAACAGGAAAGATCCTGCTAGTCTAAGCAACTTGACAAAACATTGACACTTTACAAAGGGATCAATGCCAAATATCAGAGGCAGCAAGCAAGAATGCAGCAACCATGTGATTAGGAGTGTGAAATTAACAGGTATGCTGTGCACATAAATTTACAAGCCATGAATTCCTAGTGATACTAATAGCAAGTAAATGTATAATGCAGCACAACATGCAATATGTTCAAGATGCAACACATGAAATGCCAAATGAAAACCAAGCATGTAAGGTAATTATCAACAGAGACATCAAAATAAGCCCAAAGGGTCAAGTCACTACTGAATTTTAAGAACCTGGCTTCCTGCACATCATGCCTCTGCCTGTGCTTTCATAAGAACAAATTTATCAATTATGACCTCTCATATACAAATTTTACAAGTTGTTTGGATCTCTCTAATATGCAATTGATGAGCATCATCACAAAATTAAAGATAAAAGTAGCACTCTAACAATTTGCAAGATTGATGGAAGATAATGAAACACTGCAAAAAGCATGACGACTTACTGTGATGGAAGGTCGGCATCTGTTGCACTTTCACTAAGGATTCGCTCAAACTCTTGAATATTCTGTTTTAGTTCACGAGACAAATTGTTCTGAGCTGGAATTTTTGCAATACTAGGAAAATATGCCCTTGCCACGAAAAGCCAGTCCTTTAATCTCTTCACTATATCATCCTTCATCTCTTCTCTATTTTCTTCACGCCAAAGGCAGTAGCTTCCATATTTCAATTCGCATAATCTTCCACTTTCATTGATTTTGTCTTTAGAATTTCCAGTGACTCCAGCCTTACCACTAACTCTAACATTCTGCAATAGAACATCAAATTATTTCAGATGGGCATTACTGAGAAATGTGGAACATGTACAAAACTCTATAGAAGTAAATGCATGCATACATTTTTACTGGGAGGTGGCTGCTGCATGGCAGGAGGGGGCTGTCGCACAGTCACTGGGATACCTGTTATCATTTAAAAAGGTGAAATATAGTTCCAATTCACATCTTATAAAGGGCCTGGACAATTATCATAGGAACAGTTCAAGAAAAACTTTAACCAGACCTTTTTTCAGTTGACTATTACGCGAGGCATTCAGGCTACTGGTTATGTTTTTTGCCTTTTTCGCTAAATTTCCAATAACATCCTGAATTGCAAAACAAAATAACGTTAGAGAAACCTCTACTGCTGTAATAAATATTGGTTTTGAAATAAATTAGAATGCTGCAATGAACCTTCGAGTTTCAATGATACAATGGTTGATTGTATATAGCTGGAAATGCCCAGCTGGACTATGTATATTCCCTCAGCACTCAGCAGCATTTTTGCATTGAATGAAATACTTTCCTTATTTTAAAAAATGATATTGACCAGCAACACTAATCATAAAGGGACAATTGCATATCACCCACAAAGATTTACAACATACAAGGACACAATATGGCTAAATAAAATTTATACAACACATAAGACAATACTGCACTGGCCACTGTATGGGGAAAAGGCATGAAGTTTTGGGCTGACAAGAATAAGAGCACAGATTCAAGGTCTTGAAAGGGGCAACTTTAGAAAAATGATAAACTGAAAGATGTTTACATTGCTTAATTGCTGACTACAATAGGAAGCTGAGGATTCCCATTAGAATAAACATTACTCTAAATAATACAAAGAGTTGCTTCAAATCCAATACAAGCTACAACTTGTAAGGTAAACTATTAATATGAGGATGGCCAAAAAAAAAAACCTGCTAATATGAGTCTACTGAAGAAGAAGAAATCCCCTTCTATGTCCCCAATAATAACAGCAAGTTTATTTATCATCTAGCCTCTTTTTTGGGCTAGCATTTACCATCAAAGCTAGTTGGTATTTTATTTATTTATTTATTTTTATGGACTTATTCTCCTTTTATTCTTAAGAAATGTAACAAATGTTGCAGCAACAGATGGATGTGCCATTAGTATCTTCCAATTTCTTCAAAACCTCACAAAGAAGAGAAAAGGGCTAAAGGAAGGTAGTGCAGCTAAACTCCACTAGGATCAGCAATGTTAAATTTTAATCCTCTTCTTCCAAGAATCCCTCTCTAACCCATATCACAAGTTCTAAAGCCATTAGAAACACTAAAAGATAAGTAAGCAGCTGCTGGTGGGCTGCCCAATACTCAAGGGTAGTTGCTTCTTTAGCAAATCTGCAACATGCACTGTAGCCCACTTTTTGGGCCAAAATCTTCTTTTCAATTTCTAATACTAAAGGAAAAGCCTGAACCTAGTCTTGAGTGCAACAAAGTGAGCACAATGCAGCCCCATTGGCTGAGAGCCTGAAACCCATCTCGCACATACAAAAAGAACAATTAGAAATGCTCAAACATTAATTTCTTGTTTCAACACACAAAAAAGAACAATCATATTTGGTATCACTTTGGGAATAGAAAACTTTAACAACATTCAGGTAAAATTAATAGCATTTTTCGTAATTCATATGCCTACAGATTCTCTGACATTAAAAATGTTTTCCTTTTCAATTTTATTGTTAGGAAAAAGGACTGGTTAACCATAAAACCATCACAAAAAGGCCAAACCTCATTTTCAATTAATTATCCACATTTTAAAAGAAATTAATGATAAGCCAAACTAAAGCTTGCTTTGAAATTATTATATTTTTTTCTTTTAAGAGCTTAAACAATGTTGGTATTAACAGAAAACATCTGAAAACAAGGGTGTAGATGGCCACTAAGGATCCAAGAAAGTATCAAAGATTTAAATATGCCTAAAAGATAGCTGCTTCCCCTCCACTTTTTCCAGTGTTAAAGAGTACTTTCAACTTGTCCATAACAGATAACTGCTACTTTTTTAATAAGGGTTTTTCCATCACTTTAAATCTATGAGGTGAGGGAGAGAGAGCTGATACAACGGTTTAGTCTAAAGGGCTACCTCAACCCAATCAAATACTTTTTAAGTTAAATCTCAAATGCCAGCCTTTTTACTCCAAGTCTAACAGAACAAAAGCTAATGGCTATCTGACCACTACCCTACAATTTCACTGTTACCAAGTAATTCAGCATTATCAACACAAATAATAAACATCAAAACTCAAAAGAGACTAAAAGGATGCAGCAGAAAATGAAACACCAGAGTCTAGAAACACTAGTTATCATCAGAGTTCAAGCACCAAACCTTTGGCAACTTTGGTTCTATTTTATTCAGAAGGTCATCTATGTCGCTTGAACCACCACCCTGTAAGAAAAGAGTATTTTAAAAAAGGAGAGAAAAAATAATTTAAAACATCAATCAATTATAACTACTTTCTGTTATGATTAGATGAAAGTGGATCAAAAAATGTTTATTTTCCATATTAGATTCAGGGACACAAAATTGATTTTAAGGCCAGGATGAAACTCCATGCCCGAGAATGATTCCTAAAGTTACTAGTGTCTTCTTCATCATAATCTCTAATAACCTTCTGATCCCAATTGTAAAATAATATTAAATGACATAAACTATAAATCAGTCTGGGAACAAGTAAATGAAGAGATATAACTTAAAAACACATTTGAAATACTTACAGCCCATGAACTTTGATTGGGCACGAATCCTGTAGAAGATCAAATTGGATGGTACGTGAGATTTAGAATACAAAGCCAGTTAAAAATTTGAAATAGATGCTAGAGAAAGAGAAATCCGACGTTGGAGCTGCAGGAGCAGATATTAACAGCAGCAGAATGAAGCAAGCCAGAAACACATCCATTCAACGCAAAACAACATGGAAAGAGATTCAGTCCAAATTGCCAATAAACAAGAGTGAATCGCCACTGAGATTCTCCAAACAAATTGTTAACAGTGGGAATTAATAATCGAAGAAGTCAAAAACATGAAAAAGGAATGAGGTATTGCTAAATCCAACATTCACTAAATCTAGATCTCGGATAATGATCAATACAGTGATTAAAAACGACAGCAAATATCAAAACCAAACGAAAAATGGAGAAAGAAAAAACGGATCTGATCAAAAGAACGGATGATTCAACAAGAACAAGAGCAATTACGAATCAAAAGAGAGACAGAAGGCGTTGTAATTACCGTGAGAGTGAAAGCCATTATGAAGGCCGAGCAAGAATCCGAGTGGAACAAACATGGACAGAACAACAAGGAAAAAGACGCTGCTGGCGAGGCCTCTCCATCGCCGTTTCGCCGGAGCAACGCCTCCCACAACGCCACCCCCGCCTTTCATCTCCTCACGTCTCCACCTTTATCACTTGCTCCAACTCTCTCAAATCAATCGCTTTCTCCAAATCTCCTCTATATTCCAATCAAAATCTATTATCTATTACCGTCGTTATTCCGAGCAATGGAGCACTACTAACTAAGCCGTAATTGGCCGCCGGAGATTCACCTGAGAATTCATCATTTGGAGCCAGATGTGAACTCGGTCCTCTCACCGGCACTACAGTTAACCGCTGTCTTCCTTCCTTTCCTTTCCTCTCTCTTCTTTTTTCTTCACTCTCTTTGCTTTTTCCTTTTGATAAAGGTCGTATTAAACTATTAATTAACGCGCACTGTCCCGTTAAGAACCAACAAACCAACACCGTACACACACTCCTTTGAAGACGATGGACACTGTTGCTAGCACATGGGACGGATTTACATCCACACTACATAAATAGACGAGTTAAATTCACGCACATTGTCTTGTACGCTAGTTGATATGTAATCTCAATACTTTGATAGTAGGCTAAATTCAATAAATACTCTGTACAATTAATAATCTATTTTAATTTAATTTTAAAATAATTTTTTTAAAATAATTTATAAATTATTAATTTTAATATAAATTAATTTATTTAACAAACATCCATTAACTAAATTAACTAGATTAGCAGAATTCTTTCCAACTATTAACATACTTGCGCCTAATTCATCACTTACATGCTATGTGATCCAAAATGAAATATATGTAAGCAAGTTATTCTTAAATTTTTAAAAAA